CACGTGCAGTGCAGTGCAGACAGCAAAATCGCTTGGTTTGGAAACTGGTTAAGATGAAATGATTTAAAAGGGAGATTTTCTAGATCTAGATGATTAGAACTGATTCCTTCACAGTAGAGGCTTTATAAAATAACCTGTCGTTCACTTGAAAATTCACAAAGAATGCTCCTAAAGAGGGGAACCACTTCTCCAACGGCAAACCTACAAGGAGCAGCAGCTGGAGGAGGAATCAACATCTGTGCTGCTCAAACAGCTGTGTGACGGAAAATAGAGCAGAATGTCCCATCTGCTGCAGAGCTACACGTCTGAATGCACCCAGTCATCTCGATTCCCACGTCACTCCTCGAATCCCACAGGAAGAGCAGCGGAGATTTCTCCACCTCCATCCACACTAGAGTCTGCATTAAACTTTGATCGGTGGAATGAACTACAGAAACCTCAACATTCATTCGCTGGTGACTCACTGTGAAAGTCTACAGATTATTCTGTAGATCTCAGGAAACAATGAATCATCACTTAGGTTTCTGCATTTATTCATCTAAAAGATAACGCAGTTAAGTTGATTGACTGAAAAAGTAATGACTGGATTTATATTTATGGGTTATTGTGCAGGGTTCTTTGAGGCGGACTGCAAAAAAAAAAAAAAACAGTGGGTTTTTAGTTGTTGTTTTTTTTTATAGTTCAATTGCTAAATTTTCAGTAAAGTACTACACTACCCATAATCCCAAAGTGTAATCCACCAATCAGAGAAGTCGCATTTTAAATGGAAATGAGAGAGCAGAAAGAGAAGGGTCATGTGAGTTTTTGCAGACTAGCACAGGCAAGCTAGAGAGTGTTTAGCTAGTTAAGTTAGCTAGTTACCTAGCAAACTACATTTTAACTGGGATAAAAATTCTGATGTAAAAATGTTAAAAAGGCCCCAAAACTGACCCAGAAAATCCAAGTGCAAGGATTTATGGTAGTATTAATAGTACTGTTTTTAAATTTGTACTGCTTTGGATTAAAAAAAATAAAAAACAGCATTTTTACTGTAATACAATAAAGGTCCAATATGAAAATATTAGTGCTGTCAAACGATTAATCGCATCCAAAATAAAAGTTTTTGTTTACATAATATATGTGTGTATACTGTGTATATTTATTATGTCTATACAAGTACACACACATACAGTATATATTTTAAAAATATTTACATTATTTATATTACAGATAAATTTAATATATAAACATAACATATTTTTTTAAAATATATACATGTATGTGTGTATTTATAAATACATAATAAATATACACAGTACACACACATATATTATGTAAACAAAAACTTTTATTTTGGATGCGATTAATCGTTTGACAGCACTAGAAAATACGTTAAAAACTGACCCAGAAAACCAAGCTGATTAAGTTACATCATTTACAATGTACTTTTTAAATACTCTGTAAAGATTTGATTAATTTCAGTCAGAGTTGGTTTAGAATTTTTTTTCTTTATTTTTATTACTATTTTTTTAATGCATTGACAAAATGACTGAGAAAACATTCCCAGAACCAAGGCCACTGAAAAAGTTAAAAACATCGGACTGCCTTTAGATTAGATTCAGGGTCATACAAACAAATGCAGTGCAAGTCTAATATTATTACTAGCAATCAACTACAATATAATCACAAGATTAAGGGGACTGGACTTTCGGTTCAGGGTAGGTCATGGAATTGCATATTATACGCCAGATCAATTTTTAATTTAGGAGCTCTGACAGATGGCTTACAACAGAACACAATCATCCAATGGTAAATGGGTTATTTCGCAGAGCAGCCACACCTGGAAAAGCTCCTCATTAGAAAAGCATCAGTGATTTGATCAAAAGCTTTGTGCTCAACTCACGATGCAAAGAAACACTGTAATTAGATGGTGGCAGTGCTCAGCAACAAAGATAAGTATGTATTATCAGGGGACGCACCCTGCGTGTTTCCATCATGTTTAAGGTAACCTCTTCATTACTGTTGAACACAGTTGCCACCTTTAGCAAATCCTGATGGGTGAACCTCATGAACATATCTAGGTCTTATTTTCCCCCAAAAATGGCTTTATTAATTTGCTTTAAAGAAAATTAAGCCTATTTAGAATGTACAATCTCTTTTCAATTTAAATCAGATTATTAGAAGGATCATGTGACACCTAAGACTAGAGTATTGTTGCTGAAAATTCAGATTTGATCACAGCAATAAATTACACTTACAATATATTCACATAGAAAACAGCTATTTTAAATTGTAATAATATTTCAATTTTTACTGTATTTTTGTTCAAACAAATGCAGCCTTGGTGAGCATAAGACACTTCTTTCCTAAACATTACACAATTGTACCGACCCTAAACCTTTTGAAGACTGAAAATTTGTCATATGATAAAAATGTCATTACAGAGATGAATACTTGTGGGAAAATAATCCTGAAATGATGGCAAAATGCTCAAATCCGGCTTTAGTTTCTTTATGCAAAATTTAAGATCTTATTTTTGCATAATTATGGGGTAAAACGTGACCTGGACATGTTTTGTATGTACCTCATCAAGGTACAGTTTTACCTTTCAAAATGCTCAGGCCCGAATATTTGGGATGGCTTTGGATATATACATTTGCCAGGAAAATTTGAACATCTATTCAAATAGCCAATAAGACTCTCCATTCAGTGCCATAAGAATGTCCTATCGGAATATCCTGTAAACCGAGAACATAAAATGTATTTACATAAAAGCAAAGCATCGGTACTTCTGGGAATTTCTGTTTCATCTTTGTATCATCATCTCCTGCTTTCTATGTTGGTGGCCTGCTATAATTCAGCCTCTGTGTTTTAAAACATCCCAGCTATGCTGTTGGACTCTAGCCACAAGCAAAAAAGAACTGCAGAGAACATAATCCGAGCCGCACATTATGCATAAATGACAGCAATGCGGGAAAACAGCAGCAGTGTGTAACAGATAAATGCCATCTCGCCTACCCAAGGATTATAGCATCTCCATCAACAGGGTCAGTGACCCACCAACACCTGGTGGTAGTGCTGGGCAGTATGATCAAAAATGTATATCATGGTATTTTTCAAAATTAGACCGGTTTCACGGTATATGACGGTGTATTTTTTTTTCATGCATGACCGGGTGTTAACCATATTTTCTACTGATTGAGAGAGGAAATACTGCAGTATATTAACTTAGAATGCCCTATTTTACGGTCATGATGAGTGAATATTGTCAAAAATACCACACTAAATAGTGACTAAACACAACCCCTTTTAATACATGTTAACCAGGAGCTCTCATTTCTAATCGCGTCATCATCTGATAAAATCAACATGCATCTACACTAAAGAGCGGCTATGCGGTTGTTTTGGCTATATTACTTTTTTGTCTCCTGCAGCGCACTGCCTGCATCTGAGTAACGAACTAAAAAAAACAACAAACAAAAAACGTGCATGTGATATGAACTACGCTCATAATTAATAATTCCAAAGAATCAGTAAGCAACAGGTGCTAGGAAACGCTGTTTTGTACTCATTTATTGACGAGTCGGCTGCGGTGTGGCCAACTGAATGCGCTGCTTCTCTGCCGCTCACTGCACAGAACAGACGCCGAGAGAGGCGACACTTCTCCGGGAAAGTCAGACCTCGCATTCGCGGGACAGCACTGGCGAAATCTTCCAACTGAACCATAGCTAAGGTTTATCCAAAAAGTCGCTAGGTTTGTCAGTATGTATATTCTATTCATCTTCCATGACCACTTAGATGCGACACAGGAAGTCACAAATTTACCACCTAACAAGTACGCACATGTGCTGTTGCAAAAGTTGTGAATTGGAGCACAGTATTCGATCTAATTCGACAGTATGTTTAGTCTTCAGGCTTTCTCTTTTAAGAGGCAATTAAGAGGCAGAAAGCCATTGCGACGGTCCTTAAAAGGTCAAAATGCCACACAAACCTGGCGAAAGAACACATCAGTGGTTTTGACAGGAAGTGTGCAAGAACAAATCTGAATTGGTAAATGCTAAAAAACAGAAATGGTATAAATATGAGCAATAACGTAGTATCATCCAGCTAAATCATAAGTGTGTTCACGAAAGTCAACGTTTTGACACAATCTCTTAAAGTGGCCCTATTATGGGTAATGAAAGGTTCATATTTTGGTTTTAGGAGCCCCAACAACAGGTTGGCATGCATGCAAGGTCAAAAAACCCTTTCATTGTCTTATAGTATGCATTTATTTTTACTTTACTTGCTCAACGACTCCCAAACGATTCGCTCAATGATTAATTTTTCCAAACCCCTCCTTTGCGTGATGCTAATCTGCGGTGATTTGTCCGATCGGACCATGCCTGTAATATCTGATAAAGCAGTGCGTGTGAGCCAGTGCTGCTTTGTTTACAGTCATTACCGGGGAAACAGCTATTTTTATCGCTCCAAAAGTGCACCTAGTGGCAAAGAATGAATTTGCATTTTCATTCAGACGCGAAAAGACCAACAAGTGTGCGGCAATATGCTAATGTTTCATGTTGACGTCAACATGAAACGGCTTGGGATTTTTTTTTAAACGACTCGTTTCAATGATTCAGAGTCGACTCTTTCTTTTGAGAGACAATAACTTTATACACGGTGCACTTTCAGATTTAAAACTTTGCAGGATGTTTTTATTCACTTGGAGTATGAGACTTAATGGCAATGTTTAACTTATAATTGTCTATTGTAAAAAAAACAACAAAGCAATTCAATTTTAAATCTACACTTTGATTGCATGGAAGATAATAGCACACCTCTCCTCAAGCCGCACAATTTTAGGCATCATCTCTGTCCGTAGCAAACACAGGTCTAGATGAGTTACGCCCTGAAGTTTTGTACTTAAGGGTTTTTCGAAAACACAATGGCAAATGCTTATAATAATAACTTTCCTTTAACCAGCCACTTGAATCAGCAGCGTGAGCAACAGCAAGGTCAAAGAGTTTAGAGGATGGTACCTTGGGATAGTCCAGCTCAAAAAACGTCTCCAGATTGTTTATGAGATTGGGGTCCACACCCTTGAGGGGCTTCAGCAGCGATACACCAGCCAGTTTGCTGTACGGCACCTTTTCTGTGGTCTTCTTGTTGAGATGCAGACGGCTGAAAAGAGAGAGAAGGAATGTTTTTAGATTACATTATGCATTTCAATGTAACACGAGTTACATAATCAGATTACTTTGTAATTCACAAGAACATTTCTGAGTAACTTTATAAACAAGTAATGCAAGCTACTTTCTTTTCCCATTTATTGACCAGCAATAATTAAATATGTTAAATAGCCCATTATATTAATCAGGGTCTTTGCTGCCTGACCTTCGATGATCCAATTAAACCATACAAATTAGCAAAAATGACTTTAGATTAACAATGATTTTAAATGCTGAAGAGAGAAAAATGAGCCCAGCCCGATTGAGAAAAAGTAACACGCAAGTAATGTAACGCAATGCAATTAGTTACTTTTACTAAGAAATGCAATTAGTTAATGTTTTAGAGAGTAATGCAATATTGTAATGCATTACTTTCATAAGTGCATTTAAAAAAATCTATCAAGTGTCCACAGGGTAAAACTTTGAGTGTATATTCATGCAAGCAGGATGTTATGTTGCTTTCTTTGTGCAGGATGGTGAATTTTAGGGAGGTTTTTTGAAATCCCGGTAAAGCTAATATGGCCTATTTTGGCAGTAGCAAACACTTCTAAAAAAAATTTTAAATACTGTGCAATTATGATCAGAATTAATCTTTGAAATCATTTACAGAGAGAAACACGGTGATGCAGTTAAAAACATTCAAGTGAATTGCACTACAACAGGAACCTATGTTGCACAAATTGAGTCAAATCCTGGTTACTCTATTTGCAAGCAACCTGCAGTAGCCAAATGAAGGCTGCAGCATATAAGCATGCAGTGGGACGGTGTATTATTTCAAACAATGATCAACTGTTTGTTTGCAGTTTGACTGGCAGCTGACAGGTCACCTATGTACCGCAACAAGGCAGGTGATCCAACTGGTTTAGTTTCCCAAGTTAACTGCAGTTTCAGTAGTAAAGATTTTCAGCAGTTTCACACACTTATCATACTTTGATTAAAGAAGGAAGTCTCACAGTGCTCAAAGTCTATAGGGTCAGGTGGCCGTATTTTATTATATTTATTGTTCCTATAAGTCCACTGATATTATGTTACGAGAAGCTCTTTGGCTCAGTTTCAGGATGTAAATCAAAAGAACATTTCACAAAACACTTTAAAAAACCTCTTATATTCAAACTATTTCTGAGAACTGTTCATGTTAATGTCTTGTTTTGATGGCAGAATGCTCAGGTAATGCAGAGTTAACCGTTTCAATTTATAGAGGCATTTTAAAATTGGAGCAGTTTGATCAGCAATTACAGCACCTTCCTCTTCTCAGGAACTCCGCTTGTGCACTTCCTATCTGTTCCTGTCTGAAGGGTCCTTTAGTCTTTCCTGACACACTTGCCAGCAATCTACAGAACAAGCGCAGAAGCTTCCAAGACAGCAATAGCCATTAAAAGCTGGAAGAAAGATTCAGCTGTCTGAGCGGGTTTGATTCGGAGAGATAAGTTTGTCTATCTTGACTGCCAAAACATCACTGTTGCCACTTTCTTGTGAACGTCAAACAACATTTCAAGCTCCATCTAATGCAAAGACTGAGCTTTAAGAAAGAAGAAAAAAATGAGTTAAACTTATATAAATTGTCATTTCTATTAGTGCATAATAAAGCTATATATATTGGTAATATATTGTAAATATCAAACATCAGCCGATTATTGTGCCAGACTAACTGATTAAAAGAAGTGTACATCACAGTTGTCTCAAAACATTTAAGACTACAAGCATAAAGTTGTATTATACATAGATGTGTAAATTAAAGAGACTGATAATCGGTTTAACCGATATTTGTTAAAGCTAATCAAAATTGTCTTCTTAATCGGTTATCGGTTCATATGTTTGTAGGAATAAATGGCATCCGCTTTTTGGTAAAGTAACTTACTTGTAGGGCTGTGTATCACCAGCAAAGTCATGATACGATACGTATCACGATACAGATGCCACGATACGATACGCATCACGATACGGGACTGCACTGAATTTCACCTCAGAAGAATTTAGTAAAACAGCTGTTTATGACCTCTGCATTATGAAGGGCCTCCATAACTGTACCACAGTACAATATAGGTAATGGCATATGTTTCATGTTTACATTGTGCACTCCCCACCAGGTACAATATTCAGATTTTTTGCATCTTGTTTTTAAGCCCATAAATAATGAATGTACTCGTTCTAATAAATTTATATTGTAATGTACTCATTCTAATATATATATATTTTTTAAATCATATTTACATTGCTGGTAGGTTATCATTGCACAAATTAACACACTCTCTACATTAAAAAAATAAAAATGAGAAGAGTTCTAAACTAATGCGCTGTCTTCTGTATCTAACACACACGCTCAGTCACTCACACAGATCACGCATAGACATTCAGGAACAAACTTTTTAGCGCTGCCCCGCAGTTTTATCAACTAAATAGCTTAATCGCTCTAGAGCTACATTATCTTTCTCAACAAGGTGCTGGTAGCATCATTGTTTCTAAAGGAATTAAAGCCACAGCTTTACTGTTAATAGAGAAACGTGGCAAAACAGTGGTAATTCATACATACACAGCCTCTCTCTCTCTCTCTCTCTCT